GTGATTCTTCCCCACTGTGTTATTTTTCAAAGTTGGTATAGCTGTCCTTAGGACTTTTTTCTTTGAATATAAGTTTTAGAATAAACTTGTCTGCGTCTACAAACTATTTGCTGAGATTTTAATAGGAATTGTGTTAAGCATGTAGATGAAGTAAGAAAGAGCATCTTTACTCTGTTGTATTGCCTTTTTAATTTGGAATACAATTGATATTGTGTGTTAATCTTGTATTTTGTGACCTTAACTCAGATATTAATATTAGATATTTTTCTTGTAAATGCCTTCTTGTAGGTGGATAATCTACAAATAGACCGTTTTATTTCTTTATTTCCCAGTGTATGCCTTTTATTTTGGAATGTATGTAGCCCAGTAGCTGCTACCTATCTGAGCATACTGGAACCTCTCATAATATTTTCTAGGTAGAATAGAATGTTTTATTTACTCTAAAGAGTTGATCTGTCTGGTGACCTAGTTAAGAACTAAATTCTTAGCTATGGAAGCTACTTGTATGTTTCTGTTTCAGATAGTTAGATGTATTAATGTGGAATTCAGGACTAAGATAAAAGTTACAGGTATATGCACCAAAGGACACAATCCATAGAGTGAAAAGACAACCTATACAACAAGAGATAATATTTTTAAATTGTATAACTAATAAAGGGTTAATATCCTGACTAAAGAACCCCTACAACTCAACAATTAAAAATAAACAACTCAATTAAAAAATGGACAAAGGACTTGAATAGGCATTTCTTAAAAACAAAAACAAAAACAAAAACCCAGATGACCAACCAAGCACATAAAATGATGCTCAACATTACTAGCCTTTAGGGAAGTATAAATCAAAACCACAATGAGATATCAGATGGCTAATATAAAAAACAAAACCTCCAAAACCAGAAAATAACAAGTGTTGGCAGGGATGTGAAGAAGTTGGAACTTTTCTTGAACTATTGGTGGGAACAGAAAATGATGTAGGCACTATGGAAAATAGGATACTAGTTCCTCACAAAAATTAAAAATTGAATTGTAATACAATCCAGCCATTTTAGTTCTGGGTGTATATTCAAAATAATTTAAATTAGGGACTCAAACTAATACTTTTACATCTGTATTCATGGAAGCATTGTTCATAATAGTCAAGAGATGGAAGCAACCCAGGTATGTGTTGATAGATGAATGGATAAACAAAATGTGGTTTGTTCATATGATGGAACATTACTTGCCTTAAAAAGGAAGGGATTTTTGATACATGTTACACCTTGGATGAATGTTGAAGGTATTACGCTATGTTAAATAAGCCAGCTAAAAAAAAGGCAAATACTGTATGAATTCACTTATATATGAGGTATCCAAATAGTCAAATTCATAGAAGCAGAAAGTAAAATGGTGGCATTGCCTATCTTTCTCTGTCTTTGTCTGTCTGTCTCTTTCTCATGGAAGAAGTAAATAAACTTTTAAAAATTGGTTGATGGACCAGCAGATGGTTTGGTGGTTAAGGTGCTGAACTCCCACACAGTGAATCCCAGTTCAAGTCCTGAACCCAGCAGCCTAAAAAATCATGCTGGACGCATATGCATGCATGCCCCAAATCCCCAGGGAATAGAGCAAAAGATTGTGGTGTGGTCACCCCCCTAGGAGGGTGGTGATTTCTCACTTTCCCTCTCTGTCTCTGGTTAAGCACTCATGCCCTATGGCAAAAACCTAAAAAAAATTAAAACCACTCCTGCCCGGTGAAAAAAACCTAAAAAAAAAAAAAAAAAAAGAGGTTAAAATGATGAATTTTACTGAAAAATCAATACAAATGGACAAAAGGCCTGAGTTAGCAGTTTATTAAAGAAGATTTCTAATTGAATACCTCTTACAGTCTGATGTAATTTAAAATTAGAATACTATTGAATAATATCAACTCAAGGTGAAGAAATGTATATCCTGTGATGTACCAGTCTTATCTTTGTCTGTATACCCAACAAAAGAGAAACTTTATTTTCATCAAAAGAAATACACAAGAATGTTCATAGCAGTACTAATCATACTGGCCAACAACTAGAAATAACCTCAACGTAGATCGTTAGAGGTATGGAAAAAATAAATCATGTTAGAACAGAGTGCTGCATATAGCTATCAGTCTCGGACGTTTTGTTCTCAGGCTGCCTTTACACTAATAAAATTTATAGAGGACCCCAGGGGCTCTTTGATATGTAGGTTTTATCTTCCAATATTTACTGTCTTGGAAATTAAATCTAGGAAAAATGAAATATTTAATTCATTAAAAAATAATAAACCACATATTAACATAAATGTTTTATGATACTTAAAAAAAATAAATAAAGAGCCAGCAGATGACATAGCAGTTATATTGCTGGGCTCCCACATGGCCTACTGTGATTCAAGTCTTGCACCTGGTGTCTTGAATATCATGCTGGGCGCTTGTACGTGCATGCCCAAGATCCTAGAAGAAGGGATTGTGTTGTGACCATTCCCCCTGGGGGGATATTTCTCACTTTCCTTCTCACTGTCTCTGCCTCTCCAGCCAGTGCATATGCCCTAAGGCAAAACCTCTAGAAAAAAATTAAAATAGTAATAAAAATGGCAGCATTTTGTGTACTTGTACCTTTCTTTTTTTTAAAGAGTGATTTGTTTCATTTTATATATTGTTACTATTATTATTTTAATTTGACCAGAGAGAGATAGAGAAACGGGAAGTGAGAAAGCAAGATGAACTCAGATCTGGGACTCAAACTGCAGTCATTTATGTAGTAGTGGCACCCTAACAACCAGGCCACCTCCTGGCCCCTGCACATTTTTTTAATGCCTAGGTTAAAAGTAGTTGGATTCTGGAGACAGCAGGAAGTATGGTGGTTGAGGCTCTGGACTCCCATATGACTGACTGTGGTTTGAATCCCAGACCTGGTAGCGTGCTTTCTCACTTTTCCTCTTTCTCTCTGTGGTGAGCACACATGCCCTGTGGCAAATTAAAAAATAATAATGATAAATAAAATTACATAAATAATTATTTTAAAAAATAGTTGGATTAGGGGCCAGCAGGTGGCATGGTGGCTAAGGATGCCAGACTCCCACATGGCTGACTGCAGTTCAAGTCCTGGGCTTGGCGGCTTGCTATCTTACTTCCCCCCC